GAACCCCGCCGCGTCCTCAGCCCAGTACCTTGCACGGGGGCCGGAGGGGGCTCCTGATGGACGCTCGGCTCGTGCGCCTCCATCTCCTCCCTGGTGCCGTCTACGAAGGGGGGCACGGTGGACATCTGGTGATACTGGGCTGCCTGGAGGGCCTGGATCTGCTGAGTGGACTGAAACCTTCAAACAAACAAGAAGCGAAAACAAACAAAATGCATAAATACGAGGGAACTTGACGTGATGTCAGCTTCTGTAAGACGCACACTGGAGAGACCACGCTTATATTTTCTCTGTACAGAAAAGAGACTGAATAATAATAATAATAAACTTTATTTTATATAGCGCCTTTAAAGGTGGCTTCTCAAAGCGCTTTACAGGATGACAATAACAATAAATAAGAAGACTACAACAATAAATAAGAAAATTTCACAATAAATGTCTGCTGCAGCTGTTGCTACACTCCGCAGAACTAGACACCCAGACATCTGAATGTAAAATAAATTAATTAATAAAATCATTCATCCTTCTACAGACTGCAGCTCCTTGACTGAATTTGCTTTGTGAATACATACATAAAAACTTGCAAGGAACAATCCTGTACATGCAATATTAAGCTTTCTTGTCCAGGTGGTACAAAAGAATATCACTTGTACTTAAAGACCTAAGGAAAGTTATTCACAAACCTGACCGGGATATTTCAAATGACTCCTTGAGACAATCACAAAAAAGGAGAATAAACCACAGCCAGTGAACTACAGAAGCAGGCTTGAACAACTGGTATGCATTGTAAATAAATGGCATACATTCAAGGAATGAAGCTCCTCCCATCTTTATCAATGATCGACATCAGTGTGTTCTAGTCCTGATGCTCTCATGTTCTCAGGCTTTCCCTCCACTGATCTGGCTCATTAAGCCTTTAAAGGGAACTGCTCTCTTGTACTTGTATAGCATTTTTAGTTCTTAAATAAAATGAGGTGAGAAATTAGCATGTAACCGGTCCTAGTAGGTGGGGTTTCAGCACTCCTCTTAGGTTTACTGTTTCCCTGACTTGAAGAACTGAACCAATGGGCCCAAGCAGCACTGAGAACTGTCTATAAGAGTGTAACTCTTACCTGTGACTGCAAGGCTTTAACTGATATGAATCGTTCAGAAAGCTACTGGGGAGCAACAACTGAATCCTGATCACTAGATTCCTTTAAAAATGATAGCTTATAAAAATTTTTTCGTAAAGCTACATCCTGAGTGCAATATAACAATCAATTTTCTCAACTAAGCTTTCAATAACTTATTAGGAAGTAAGCTGAAAAACCAGAGGAGACAGAAGAGTCTAAGACCAGGCCTGGAAAACTAATCCAGACTGCTGCACAATTTTTTCAGCTTGCTGGGTTTTCAGACGATACTAGAACAGGTGATGTTGCATTTAGTGTTAACAGAATAAATTCAGGACTGGGCAGACAAGTGACAAATGAAACAAAGTGGATATGTGCAAGGTAATACAGAACATGCAGGAAACACAAATGTAAAATTCAAATATCAGATGGATGATACTTGAACCCAAAGAAGTAATTGAAGTGAGAAAGACTTTGTACACCCGCTTTTTTTTTAACTTGACCAGGAGTTGAAACTACTGGTCTTGGACAGTTGGTGTCTCTCTGCAGTTTTTCGGTACATCTGCACTCTTGGTCTGACCCAGCTCATTTAATTGGAGCAAAGTTATCAGTTTGTCCACGCTCCTCAGCTTTGGGCTCTGGAGCCCCAGACATCCTGCAGACTCACAAGTCCTCCAGAATCGAGGATAGTGTAGGGAAGCAATAACAAAGACTAACAAAATACACAGATGTGTTGTTAAGAGTGTGGGGTTACATCGTGTCAAGTTACATTCAAAATAGAACTAATGAGTGTTCAATTAGTTCAGTTTTGGTCACCACGTTATGAAAAAGACACTGCTGCTCTAGAGATAATACAAGAGCAACCAGATGTATTCCTGGCCTTAATGGAACATCACACTGAGACTAAGGGAGCCAAATGTTTTGTCTTGGAACATAGAAGACAATGAGGGGCTTCATGCATGTATTCAGAACCCTGAATACAAGGGATTTCATTCGAATGAGCCACACAGCAATACAGGGACTCTGGGACTCAAATGAAAATGAGGTTTAGGGCCTGAAAACAGGAGAAACCTCTTGACACAGACAGAGGACTGTGGGAACCTGAAACCTACTT